TTTGCTTTTTCCAACAAGAGACCTAAGACAGCCTAAAACAAGGTTAAAATCCAATATAACTAAAAAACTGATTATACAAAAGGTTGTTTTTGTTTGCTTGCTTGCTTTTTGATAACCTATTAAATTTGCTCTCATGTAAAAGTACCCATAATTTAAAAGATGAAATGGGTGTTATAATACCTACCTATACTGTAGTCCTTTTCATTCTCTGCCCCCCACTCATAATATATGAATGATCCTCCCTAATGCAGGAAGTTTCTCTCTGTGTGTATGTGTGCTGTGTGCTTTCAAGTTGTTTCCAATTTATGGCAACCCTAAGACAAACCTATCACATGGGTTTCTTGGCAAGTTTCTTCAGATGGGATTTGCCATTGCCATTCCCTGAGGCTGAAAGAGTGTGACATGGCAGAGCTAGGATTCAAATCCTGCTCTCCAGAATCATAGTCTAATCCTCAACCACTACCCAACTGGCTCTCAGGAAGGCTGTACTCAAGAAATTATTTCTACCTCATCTCCACCAGCATATGTTCAGGAGAATGCTTGGCATTACAAGGAATAGAGGAGGGTATCTGTGTCCGCTCTACAAAAACTCCATTCAGATCTTCTTTTTGTGGGAGGGAGCACAACTGCCTTCAAATTATTAATAGAGGAGAACCTGGATGATGACATGGGGACAGCTAGTGCAAGACATTTTTCTGCCTGAGGTAAAGGACACTCACACAAAGACAGAGAAACACAAACACAGTTCCACACACAGAAGACAACTAAACTGTCAGAGGAATCTTCATTGAATGCCAGTCACAAGATAATATTTTTCAGTGTAACTGAGGGTAGAAGACTAACTTTGCCTTTCAACATCTATTGTTCTTCCTCCAGTTAAGCCAGCTGCCTCCCTCTTCCTAATAGTAGATCCAGTCCAGCATGGAGTAATGTAAACCTCATCAGAATGCCCTGATGTTCTCCATGCATTCATAGCTGTCTTTTGGAGGGAAGAAGAGAAACAGACAGGTATGGATACACACCTGCACAAGGAAGCAGCATCTTATAACTGTGTGGAGACCAGACTGCCTTATTGCCATTTGAAACTGGGTGTTATTTGGGAAGGGAGTACTTCATCAAAGGTTCTGACCCTCTCCCAGGAGACCCCCTAGAAAACATTAGATTGGTCCCTTGGTCTTGCTCTGAGTTATAGCATAGTCATTTAGAAGACGCCACTCCTAATAATGTAAGATTACAAAATCTAGGTCATGATTAAAAAGCACCCACGAGATGGCACCGTGTTTCAAGTAAACCCCCAAGTTAAAATTCCCCAAGAGAGACTTAAGCTTAAAATTTCAGGGTTTGTGTAATAATGTGCCAAAGTTTAACAAGGCTATTTTGCTAGGAAATTAAAAATCACCCAGGGTGTCAGCTTAGACCAAAGGGTTTTTGGCTTCGTTGTCTTCTTTCAAGAGAGATATGTAGGTTTTTCTTCCCCACCTCCATAATTTTTTAAAGCAAGTTGATCTTGCTAGTCATGAAATTATTTTTTAACAACAGGGTGAGGTGAGGACTCAGTAGCTAGATGTCATTGGGAGTTGCCTGACAATTGTACAGAGCCTGCATATTTTACTGGCAATGAGCTAACTGGGCTTCAGTCTGCCTTCTGTAATCCCAAAGTTCATTTTTAACTCTTGCTATACTGGTGCATTTAAGTCATAAATACATTAATTTTTCCCAGATATGTGTACCATAGTGGGCTTTGCAGGACACCCTGGATTTCTGGGCTGTAGGTATGAATCTTCTGATTAAACAAAAGTCTTTCACATTTTGCTTCCATGGATAAAAACATTTTATTATTCTTATTATTTTATTCATATTTTTGCAATACTGGATTTCTTTCTTTCCTTCTCTCTTTTTGAAACAGGAAAACTCATTTTATTTATTTATTTATTTATATCCCGCCCCTCTGCAGAGCAATCGGGGTGGCTTACAACATTAACATTTCCATACAGATATATTAATACAATCTAAAGAGAACATAAAAATCCTGGATCCACCCATCCTTTAAGAAGTAAGGGTTCTTCTTAGTCTAGGCCTGATGGTGCTGGGCCTGCTGTCTCTCCCCCAGATGGAATGGAGGGAGGGCTCTTCTTCTTAGGGCATAAACAGGCAGGTGGCCGTGGACCACCCTGAGAAGCTGTGGATTGGGGAAAATTATATATGATTTGATTGAAAACTCATCAAATCATATACTCCTAGATGAGCCCATTGACTTGAGAAACATTCTTTTCACAAGTGTCTCAGACATGTGGGATTTTGAATTTGTGAATGAGGTTACTTCAGCATGCAAACAAGAAAGAAAAAGCTTTTGCCCAAAAATCAAAGCCCTATTTACTATTTGATTTGATTTGATTTAAGCTGACTGAGATCTCATCTTTCTCCCAGATGAGACCCAAAGCAGCTCACAACAAGAATTATCATGGACATGAATGAACAAGCTATATTAAAATATCAGTACTTGAAAACCATACAAACTTGTTTAAAACCATGACAAGAACAATAAAATGCAAGGACAATAAAAATAAAAAACAAATACACTGAAAACTTTCCACATAGTCACTAATCACCAAATGCTTGTTCAGCTGCCAGCAGAAAAAGAGCAGGGAGGAGGGCAACCTACTCTCCTGTAGCAGAGAGTCTCACAGCCTGGAAGCAGCCCTTGTCATTAGACTGGAACTATTTGTTTTAAATTAGTAATATATGCATTAGTAAATTAGTAATATATGAATATTTCCTGATGCAAGAAAAATAAACACATGCAGGGCTGGATCACACATTTCTGTACATTGCTTGATTTTGCTAGATTTGATTATTTCATACCAGATGATTGCTATGTAAAGGGATCCATCAGATCACAACTCAAAGGGCCTCGGCAGACGACTAAAAGAGTTGTCTTGGAGGCAAGGAAGAGGAGGGGGCAACCTCCCGGCGCTCCGGGGGCAACCTACGCGTTTAGAGCACACTTTCCCTGTCTTCTAAAAGAAGTGCCAATTTGGAGCTCCTTTTAGGGTTGCCACAGGAGCACCCGACACCCTGGTCTGCATCCCCCCTAACTAGCTTTTAAAAAGAAGTAAAGACAGATCTCTTCTGGCAGGCCTTTCCTGACTAGATCCCCCAGCCTCAGGGGCCCTGCCCTTTAATTCCCCCCCCCATTGCATTAGTAGCTGCTGCTATTTTTGCCTCTGGTTTGCCTGTTTTATTGGTTCTTTTTGATGTGTATTTTTTAATATGTTTTAATACTTAATTGTTTAATACTGTATTAAGGGGTAGGTGGGTTGGGGGATTCCAGGTTATTTGTGTACCTGTATTATATGATACAGTATTTTAAATGTAAGCCACCCTGATTGTGGGGTATAAATTATAATAATAATAATAATAATA